AAGTTTTAAAATGTTGTACTTTGGTGCTCTTTTATTTACCCAATGCTGGATATAAATACCCTCAATTTGTAAATGGTCTTGCTTATATACCCTAAAGTTTCTAAAAGTTACACTTTGCTGCCCTATTTATCTATAGAGGTCACTTTAAGTGTAAAGTTGGTTAACGCATATGGCATTTAACTGCAATTTAGCCTAAAAATATGCTAAATAAATAGAGTAGACGCTTAGAACAAAAATATATTAAGTTATAATAGCAATTTACACTATATACCAAACGTTGAAGTACAAGTTGGGTCTAAAATTAGTTCGATCCAGTAGTATATGTCTAAGAGTGATTTTGAAAGTCGGTGAGGTTAAAAATAAAGGGGATAAACTCTGGGATTCTCGGCCAAAACCCTTTTCTGAAGTGGGTAGTTTTAAAAATAGATTGTGATAAGACTTTGCATCCGCAGTCAAAAATTCTTTCTACAATCTATGATGCAGGAACACTATTAAAAAAGCAAAAAAATAAGTTAAAGCATTTAGTTTCAAAACACACTGAATATAATCACTTAGAATGAAAATATAGTAAGCCACGAGAACATACAATTTACATGGTATATACCAAATTGCTGAAATTGCAAGTAGATTCAAAATTAATTCAATGGAGAATTCTGAGTCTATATGTGATCATGAAAGTTAATGGGTTTAAAAATATAAATGAGGAACTCTAGTTTCATAGGCAAAAACTCTTTTTCCGAAGTGAGCGGTTTTAAAAATAAATTGGGGTAAAAATATTTGTTTATTGGTAAAGAAAACTCATATATAGTTTGCAACACTGCTATATTAGTGTGACAAGCCAAAAAAATATTTCTTCATTTTATTTGAAAATGCACCATATGCTTAACCACTTACAACACAAATATAGCAAGCTAGTGCCAAATAATTGAATCTACACTGTATAGCAAGCTTTTAAGATACAAAATGGATGTATAAATAATTTGGTAGGATATATTTGGTCTAAGAATGATTTTGGAAGTAGGTGGGGTATATATGTGTGTGTATATGCTAAAATTAATGGATGGTACCATCATGAGCACTATTCATTTCCCATTAACTTTAGTATATAGAAGCAAAATTGACTCGCCCTATGCCTCGACAAATAGCGTAGAAAAACTCAAAAAATGGTTTAAGTATTTAGTCTAAAAAATGCAATGCACTTTTAGTAAGTTAAAACAAAATACAAGCAACTAACACTATATACCAAATTGCTGAAATCCAAATTAGCTTTAGAATTAATTTGTTAAGAGTAATTTAGGTTTAAGAGTGACTTTGACTGTGGCTGGGTTTAAAAATTAAAAGGATTAAACTTTGATTACTGGCAAAAAACCCTTTTCAGAAGTGGGTGGTAAAAGTTTGGGTTTATAGGTAAAAAAAAATCCATATACAACTCTAGATGTCGCGTTGTTGCAAAAATCATAGCAACTTACAGTATACCTTGGATTAAACATACAAGTGTTCTTAACAATGGAATAAAAATATAGCACGCTACAGCACAATATAACAACTTACATCGTACACCAAACTTTTAAAATACAAAATGAGTTTAAAACTAATATAAATGATGGGTAATGCGGTTGTATGCATTAAAATCTTTTTGAGTGTGGGTGGGTTTAAAAAATAAACGGGAGTAAAACTTCTAGGTTTATAGGCAAAAAACCCTTTATTCTATACTTCTATATATACTACAGTTTTTTGGATGAACATCGTGTAGCTACAATAAGTCCAAAAATTAAAGTTCCAAAAGCTTAGCTGTATGGTAATTTTAGGTCTAAGAGTATCTTTGGACGTGGATAAATTTAAAGGTAAATAAGGTAAAATTTTAGGTTATATGCAAAAAGGCCTTCAAATTTAGTTAATTTTTTATATTATATTGATGGAGTATTTGGGCCTAGGAATGATTTTTCAAAGTAAGTGTTTATTGGGTCTTATATATATTATATATCTATATATATATATATATATATATATATATATATAGAGAGAGAGAAGAGAGAGAGAAGATGGGTATGTCTGGTACAAGCATAAAAAGTTGTGCTTGTAGTGAGTGTCAAATCCCCTCCACTCATTCAAATATGAGAACAAATTCACATGGATAGTGAGTGGATGAGGATGTGACACATCACTACAGCACAAAATTTGTGCTTGGTACCAAGCATACCCTATTTCTCATAATATATATATTGCTTAGCTGTATGGTAATTTTAGGTCTAAGAGTATCTTTGGACGTGGATAAATTTAAAGGTAAATAAGGTAAAATTTTAGTTTTATGCAAAAAGGCTTCAAATTTAGTTAATTTTTATATTATATTGATGGAGTATTTGGGCCTAGGATGATTTTTCAAAGTAAGTGTTTATTGGTCTTATATATATATATATATAATATATATATATATTATATATATATATATATAATATATATGAGAGAGAGAGAGAGAGAGAGAGAGAGAGAGAATATGGGTATGCTTGGTACAAGCACAAAAAGTTGTGTTTGGTAGTGAGGTGTCAATCCCCCTCCACTCATTAAAATGTGGGAACAAATTCACATGGATAGTGAGTGGATGAGGATGTGACACATCACTACCAAACACAAAATTTGTGCTTGGTACCAAGCATACCATATTTCTCATATATATATATATATATATATATATTAAGTTTTCTGTTGATGGCAGTGCGCGCATGATATGATACACCACTGTGCGTAATAAATAAATTGTTTAACACCTTAATGATTAATATTAGTACATGCATTAAAAATAGTTCCACAAAATAATATAAGTGTGGTATTTTAAAAATAGGATAGTTATGAAGTAGTGAATGACTTGTTAATTATGAGATAGTGGGGTAAGTCATGAAGGAGATTATTATTTACATTTTCCCCAAATTTGTCCTTTATTAAGTTAAAACTTATTGGAAATTGTGTATAATTTTAGGATATGTTTGGAATTTTTCTATATAGGGGTAGAACACCAAAAAAAAAGTTTTTCTTAAAGAATAGTATAGATATGGTAAGCTAGCGAGACTTCTGCTGTAGCTATGAACAGTAACTACTGTGGTAGAACCTTTAGTTTTTTATAATAGAAGATAAATGTATAGCTTTATCATGTCTAAACATGTACTAGGTAGACTATATAGCTTGGACCAGGCGGACTATAAAGCTTTTCCTGCAAGTCCATGCTTGTGCATGGTCAATCTCTCAGAATTATACAGAGACAAGATGCTCAGAAGAATCCATGACGAGTTAAAAAAAACTTTGCTTTAATGTCAAGAAGAATCGATATGTGGATATAGGTTGTTCAACAACTAGGTGAATGCTTTGTTGCATAAAGATATAAATCATTTTCGGATCTTATCTTACTATTTGCTGGTTATAGATTTCTTTTAGACATATCTTCTAGCTTCTAATTATGTTTATTTTTCTGCAAAACATGTGATTTTTTAATGGATGTGGGTTAATACACCATTTTGATAACTATGTTGCTCAGGCCTTCCATAATTCATAGGTATTTTTGCTGTATCTATTTTATTGTAGAACATTAACGTTCTGATTAGATTTCCACATAGGAAAGATGGCTTCACATTTTTATGCATAAATATATGTAGTGTTGGGTGAAAATTTCTGCTGCATCTACTTTGGTGTAGGAACTTTAATGTTCTCATTAGATTTCCACCTAGGAAAGACGACTCCACATTTATATACCTAAATGGGAATGTGAGAAGTCTTTTGCTTAATTTATGTGGTGTTAAGATGAAATTTTAATGAAAATATGTTAGATTGTCAGGAATTTATTTGGAAGTATTACCAATTAATCAAAGAGGTAAATTTAGCTTAGGCAGTGGATACGGATATGCCTCACCGCATAAGCACTGAAAGCAGCTATGGATACAGAATTCCTTATCTGGCAAGACATGGATACTATTCCTCAAATACATATTTATTGTTAAAATATGGATGCAGATAAGGGTATCTTATTTTTGCAAACAAACTAAATAACACTCTTGAGTATATGCAGATGCATGCGTATGTTACTAAAGCAAGTAAGTAATCAGAGGAAATTTGTTTCCACACATTATTTTTCCAGCTGTTTGAAAGTTGTGAAAAAAAATCAAATACTCGACATTTCCTTTTTTGTCAAGTGTAGGCATGTTTCATTTCTAGACATAGCTGTCCATGATTGAAAAATGGATATGCATGGTAACCATGTCTCAAGTACGTATCTGATACCCCTTAAGATTCTAGAATGATTCCTTCTCACCTATAATATGCTGGATATGAAAACTATAATTGTTTGTCTAATGAAAAAAAATTATCAGCTGTCCTCTAGATTATGTGCAAATCTTCAAGTGTTTATGCTCCTCCTAGGGTTAATGTCTGATACTGAATTATATGCGTGCTTAACCAGGCTGAATAATGTCCAACTCAATGGAAAAGAATAAAATACAGCTGGTTATGTCTAGTATAAATGGTTAGCTCTCTTAAGCATTATTTAACTTTCCGTATGAAACATGAATATTTCCTGTTCATTCTTTTGCCTTATTGTTCCTTTTTTTTTTTTTTTGCTTCTAGTTATGGTTCACCTCTTGTTTGTCTTCCGTGAATTGAGTATGCCTTAGTTCTTACCTTCCCACCTATAAAATGCTGGTATGAGTTATTACTATTTGTCTTGTAAGAGGTTGCCTTTTTTGAGCTTTCAATATTTCTACTCTCCTTATAGCTGTTATTCTTAACCAACGGATACTGCATTATATGCCTAAACCAGGCCAGATGTCTTTCGCCTGAATTGAAAAAGTTGTGGCTGTTTATGTTTTGTTGAAAAGGATCAACTTTTAGACTTTCCATACTATAAAACATGAATATTTTCCTGTCCATTCTTGTGTATCCATTTTGCTCAAATGGTTCTCCATTTGCCTTTGTTTTCATCTTCAGCAAATTAAGCATGCCTTGTTTCTTGTGTGCAGAGAGATGATCCAGCACAGACCCTACAATCAGAAGGTCGATGTTTATAGCTTTGGTATCGTCCTGTGGGAACTTATAACAGGCATGCTCCCTTTCCAGAACATGACAGCAGTGCAGGCAGCGTTTGCTGTGGTGAACAAGAGCGCTCGACCAATTATACCTAGTGACTGCCTCCCGGTGCTCGGTGAGATCATGACCCGTTGCTGGGATCCGAACCCTGACGCCCGCCCTCCCTTCACCGATGTTGTCAAGATGCTCGAGAACGCACAGGCAGAGATCGGAACCACTGTGCGCAAGGCTCGCTTTCGGTGCTGCATGACTCAGCCCATGACAACTGACTGAAACAAGAAAGTAAGTCTTGAAAGAAAAGATACTATAAAGGCCTATGTAACTACTACCATAGTATCAGACTTTCTGGTTGAGTAGAAGAACTTCATGTTGTGTATGTGGGTTTCTGTTGTTTTTGATATTATTATAGAAGGTTATGATTTTAGTTTGCTTATATTTTTATTTTCCCACCAAATGTTGAATGCTCTCTTGCTGTATCAAGCTCAGTGTTTTTGATTCCAAGTTGGAAAGTATTCTCATTTATCTTGCTCACCTGCTTAGTCCACCACACCAAGTACAATTTTCTACAGGATATGTATTCTTTTTAACTCAAGATTAATTTATCACCACGCGCGCATGGTTATTCGACGAATTGGGGATGCAACCGTAATCACTTCAATTTCCAAGGTAAAAATCAATAGATGCGTACGTTCAATTGTTTTTAGTCCATTATATTCGTGATTACTGGTAACACTCAATAGCCACGTATAGTTATTTTATTATTCTCCATTGCCATCATTTGGAATATCCAGCAATGAATTCCATCGAGCAAATAATATAACTTTTTATTGTTTGATGTCAAAAATGATTTCTCGTTCTCATTGCTCAGATTAAGCGACAAACAACAATCACACAGACCCTGGAGTACAATCACGAGGCTCATAATCGCCAAAGATAGCCTACAACAAGTACTATTGCTCTTGTTACGAGGAGACAACTTAAGGTTGCACAAAAAGAAGAGATGTCTTTAGGTTTTGCGGGCGTGCGTTGGTCTGCGTGCGTGTAAAATGGGCTCGGTATGGGTTATACGGCAAAGCATAAAGTTACAGTTGCAGTCTATGCCAAATTTAATTTCCTCCCGGAAAAATGCAGAAGGAAGTGATATAGTAGGGGTTAATTCCTCCCCGAAAACCTTGAGAATTGAAATAACCACCAATAAAGTCCAAACTCAAAAGTAAGTCACATATTTACAAGGTATTCCTCCGAGCTTGCTCAGGTTTACAAAAGGCTCTGATGTACAACGAGCAGACAGTAAAAACTATGTCTGTATGAGATTGATCCAGTTAAAACCAAGATTTCTAAAAATGATAGCAGAAATTGTTCCGATACACTTCCGTTTCCATGTTCATTCCTCGAAGACATAATTGGATGAATTACAGCAGAATCACTATGAAATATATTGCTGGAGATGAGTTCATTGTAAATAAACCAGAAACTGGAAGATATTGGAATATCCTGCAATCTTCTGTGCAGAATGAGAGAATCCAAGTTGAGGTTGTGGATGTATTATCCTGAACTGAGGTAACTGGGTGGTCATTGTACCAGCTTGGAAAATGGCTATGCTGAACGAGATTAGATCCCAGTTCGAACATAGCAATTCAACTAAGAAACCATCATGAGTAAGCTTATCTCCAGCTTGCAGTCAACTGCTACCTCCAAAAATATCCTGTCATGGTCTATCCCTTTGTAGTGGAAGATTCCAATCCATTCGATGAGGCAGGTGTGGGGCTCCCTCTATTTGCAGGATTTTCACGTCTCCATTGGAGGTGAGTGCTTGTATAATGGCCAGAGCCCTTCCAAGGAGGTTGAGGATAATATGATTGAATAAGCTTTGCGGGTGACTGGGATGGCACCAAGAAATCCGGAGGCACATCTGCTTTTCTCATCACCTGAGTACGATTGCAAACGATTAAAGATATTCTAATATCACAATGGACGTACAAGAAAATAATCCAATTTACATGTCCAGGTTAGAAGCATAAAAGTAAAGTTTCTAGATATTTCGAGTCTCTTGGAAACAACAATAAATTAAGGGGCTCGATTTACATACACATGCTAGTATGTTTGAAGGTTGTAGTTCTTACTTCTTAGAGATACGCAGGGTTTCAAGGTCAATACATGTAATGAACATACGAATTTTGTAATAAAACAGACAAATGACATGTCTATACAAAAATACCATTGAATGCTGCAATTTTCGCTAATTGGAAGAATGCTAAAAGTTCAATAGTTTAAAAGCATACTGGGCAAATGGCTAGGCAGAAGCAGTCTGGCACCCAGGCTACACAAGTTCAGGGTTAAGCTCCTCCATATGGTGCTCCTTACTTCAATAAATAAAAAATAAAATAAAATAAAAGGATTTACATGTGTCCCACCACTATCTCTAACCTTTACTGAGTGAAGGGAAGGGAAGGGAAGGAAAGGGAATTCTCTTCCCCTTGGTTTACACCCCAATTTGGGGGGTAACAATTTTTATACTATTAGGGGATGAACCAAGGTGAATGGAGGTGAATTAACTTCACCTCCTAAGTGTTCCCAAACAAGGTAAATGGAGGTGAATGGTTCCTCTAACTTCCCTTCACCCTCATTCCCCTCAATCCAAACAAGCCCTTAAAGCCCCTTCTTGTTGCCCTCTTCATTAGGTGCTTATTTACTTTTAGGAGAAGGTTTTGCAGTTTTGAGATTTCAACCATAAATCTAACCAATTTGAAAAACCAAAATTGTCGCCTCAAGATGGATAATCATGTAGGGTTCAAAGATCTTGATCGTCCTGAATGTTTACATAAGCTAGCAGCAGTACATTCATCTGCTTTAGTAGTATTTTCTTAAAAAATTAACTATGTTATTCCACTCATGAACTACTAAAAAAATTAAAACCAAACCACTCATGAACTATTAAAAAAATTAAAATCAAACCACTCATGAACTATTAAAAAAAAATTAAAATCGAACCTTCAGAATTCTAGAGAAGAATGATGTCCCACTCATGGATACTGCCTTGTCAACTGAATCCTTGTTGGCAAAAACAATGTATGCAGCTCTGTAGAGAAAGTTCAAGGTTCAAAAAATGACTTATTTCCTTATTGCTATTTAAGGTTATATCCCATACACAAGCATTAAAAATAAAAGATACCCTTTGGGTTGAGCTGTTACTGTGTCTGTCAGCATAACAATTTTAGCAACAGTACCACATTTCATGAAATGCGCTAGCAACGCTTCTCTCTGAGCTGCAAAATGAACCTGACGTTTCCACAAGAAAAAGAAATCATGTCTTATACTCTGAATTAATAACTAGCAAAGAGTATCCTCAAGAAAATATTACTGAAGAAAGAAATAAAGCAGGATAAGCTACTATAACTGTCAAAATTACAACACCTAATAAATATTAACTCAACAAATAATTAAAGAATACAAGGGATCAAAATAGGAATTAGAGGGGGAATTATCTAAAAGAATAAGCTCATTATTTAAAATGTATGGAACTTGTTGCCCCTCCCCAAAAATTGACATGTTCCTATATATACCGATCTATTAAATGCAACTCCTCTTATCTTTACTTGAATACGCAGAGCAGTGCTTCAACTGTGGAATGAGGGAGAATATGTCTACCAATATCACTTAAAGATGTGTATAAGATGGACAACATCATGCATAATTGTCAGTCTAACAATATCTCCAATCGAGCCAAGGTTCATACAAATTTCCTGGAAAAAAACCCTCATATATAAATGTGATATATTCGTATGAATGTCAAAATGTCATGCTCATGTACAATTCCCCAGTCTACTTGCTGGAAAGAATGACAAAGTAGATCTGGTTAATTGAAAACTAGTAAATGTTCTGTTAACTTCAAATGCTTGGGAGATTTTGATATGCACCGTGAGTCCAGTATGACATAGTTTTCAGTGACATGTCATAGATATAAATATGTCCACTTCTACCTAAAATTTGTCAAAATCACAATTAAGCAGGACTGATGGGCACATTAGTAATGCAGTGAATAAACTTATTTTACTTAAATGTATTGCAATATAATGATATGAATGTTAAAGTAACAACCACCTGAGTTATTCTCACAAAGTGGACGCACATAGATGATAAACTCAAATTACATTACTGCCGTCAAAATCTACAGAAAAGTAGAAAGATCTTAATAAAAAGTGTGTGGCTTGTATATTGACGGTTATTAGTGCAGAATAAATGTACAGCGAAGTAGAAAGATCTTAAAAAGAAGTGTGTGGGATACATATTGATAGGTTTCTGTGCAGAACTATTTTCAGATAGCCTAACTAATTATGATTGTGATCTTATCTAGATAGTATAGTGACAAGTAGAGACTAAAACTTTAACAAACATCCAAGGCATCCATGTATGTCCTACAAGGTTGTGAAAAGCCGAGCAACGCAGAAAGATGTCGCTTAGGCTTTTTGGGGCTTAAGCAGGAAAAGATGCCAAGTCAATTTTTATTTTTTTAATATAGAGACAAATTTTCAATAAATAAGCAAAAATAAAGAAAAATCTAAAAATAATAAAACAAGCACTTTTTTTGGGGGGGGGTTGGGGGGAGGGTGTTGTTCCTACATGTGACTATGTGACGTCTATAGAGATCTTGAGCATAAAAATGACAAAACTAAAGGATCTAGAGTTCCACACCAAGTCAAAAGCATAAAAATTTGAAGTGTCAAATATGGCTTTAACAATACAAGGCAACACATCTTAAAAGAAAAAAAAATTTACCCTGTAGGTCCACACAAGCAATTCAAACCTTCAAAATCATAACAGTTCCACCAACAAGTAATTCTACAACATGATCAATACAAGAGTAAAAACCACTAAATTAATGTTCTAGAATCTTAGACAATTTTCCATGCCATTATTGTGCATTCATCATTATCATTTATCACAGTCGAAGATCCATAGTTCTTATTAGAGCATATACAATGTTTCCACATTTAACTTTGGATCCCCTTGTTTCATAAACTTTCCCAAACAAGTTTACAACTTTCTCCTCCGATATTCTAATCTTTTGAAAGATGATAATAATGACATTGTGAGGTGCTTGTGAAACTATTGAGTCCTTAATGTGCAATTTTCTAGCTCCAGACCTCATAATTGACACCTACTGAGTCCTTAAATGTACAACTCTAAACCACACCTTTATGCAAAACTAGCTCCCTTTATCATTTAACAGCCTAATTTAGAATTGAACATTTCCGCATATCTCGAGATGCAGCAATATTTCAACTAAGCAGTTGCCAATCAGAACTACATTCATCCACTTGAGAAAAGTCAGCTATAATTTCATGCATCTCCTACTTTTTCCAAGTAACATGATCACACCAAAGGAGAAAAAAAGTAGTATATTGTATGCTTTCAAATTGGGTGGCTACTCTTTTTTCACATCAAAACTGCCCCCACAGCACAGCATAAAACATAAACAGCATCCCACAAGACCCAAGCATTCCGCCAGTCAGCAGCCTTCATCAGCAACATCACCATGTATCTTAAATTCTGTTGTGATAAGAAAAACTAAGCATCCAAACAAAGAGTATGGGAATTTACACAAAATCTCAATCCTGGCCATGAAACCAATCTTAGTACTTGCTCTATCGTGCAAGTGTAGTATATGTCAATAACAACTTTCAGGAAACAAACCTGTCATCAAATACCAGGACTTCAATATACACCTTCTGGGGTTCTCAAAGATTGTTCTAGCATAAATCACTAAACAGTCATAATTTATGTATTTGCTGCTGTAGTTCATATGATAAAATCCACAATAGCTGCAGCGGATTCCTAGAATGACTTTTACATCTTCCCAGTATACTTAATTAACTTGCATCTTTGCCAAAATATCTCTCTGAATATAAATATTAAGCTACTTTAAGGTCTGGTTGGTTGTGAATCTAAGTAGTTGTTGCATACTGTGATTACGCAAGCAGATCTGATAGTTGGTTAGCAATAAGATGTGAGTTGCAGAAACTCAAGCAGCCAACGGGTTTCAATCTTCGTATCACATGTGCTACAACAGAAAGCAATGCAAGTTACTGCAAGTCAAGCACTTGCAGCTTAAGTTACATGTTATCAAACAGACCTTAGTAAGATTGACGCCTAAACTATCCACAGTCGTCGAAGAAAAGCACTCAGAGTTGTTATTATTGACTTTCTGTATTAAAACACTACAAAAATATTTATAAACTGAATTTTCCAGCATGCTAAAGGTAAATCTTTTGGAATATCAAAATCCAATAAGAGAAATTTGTAATTCATCAGAAAACAAACTAGCAGCAACTGTGATAAGAAAAATTTGTCTGCTTCCAGCTATATGCAATGTTATAGATATCCTGTGCATCTGACAGGCAAAAGAGAGAAACATAGGGAAAACACCAAGAAAAAGAACCAGAGAAATGTTTTCTTTGCATACATTTGTTACAAGAACAGTCCTTGACTCTAAATCTTCTTCAGAGTGATTTTGCACACCTGCAATAAAAAGTAATTGACAAAATGATCCAAATTCATAAACATGCAAATAATACATATTACATGAGGATAACAGAAAATACCAGTCTACGTATGCAGAAAAGAAAGTAAAGTTTAGAAGATTAAAGTTTCCAATAAGAAAATGACAATCTTTTTTCTTGCATGCAAAGGGATAACAATAAGACTTAATAACCATCCAAGCAGAGGTTGAGCCTTGGTGCAACAGTAAGGTTGCTGCATCCTGACCCGGAGGTCAAGGGTTTAGGTCTCAGAAACTCCCTCTACATTTGCGGGGTAAGGTTGTGTACATCTCACCCTTCACAGAGCCACAATGGGGGGAGCCTCATACACTGGGTCATCCTTTTAAACCACCCAAGCAAGTAACAGGTATATTTTTTACCTGATAAAATTGGACCATGAATAAAATCAAGAGCATAGCTCCTATTTTCTTTGGTGCCCACTAACATCTCCTAACTGGTTTAGACTAATTGACATCGATAAAATTGAGTATACGATAAAAAATAGGAGCAGGCAACAGAGAGATAAAAAAGAATACATTTCAACAGTCTGTCTCCATACATGTCTAAGAACTTTAGAGTATCAAAGGAAAAAGAATAATACATGTAATAATACATGTCTAAGAACTTTAGAGTATCAAAGGAATAATACATGTCTAAGAACTTTAGAGTATCAAAGGAAAAAGAAGTGGACAGCATATAACAAACATCGGCGAGCAATATAAATGAGAATACACAATATTGATGAAAATTGGTGATTGAAACTTTAAACATCAAAGAATTTCAACCAAACAAGACGGTCAAAAGATTCAGCTTACAAAAACTAACTCAAAATGCATAAAAGTAAATGATTGTATACGGATGTCGTCAACGTCAAAAAAAACAGTTTCTACAAGTTAAAAAGCTAAGATCAGAATGATAATGCAAAGGCCCTAACCGAGAATTTTATCTTACACCCATCCACTAGAAAAAGATCGATATATTAATATATTAAGGGTCTGACTACATCACTTATGGTTATTTAAACCGAAGCGTTGCACTAACACTGGATAAGCCTTTTGATTCCTGCAGATGCCTTTGATTTATGGTACATTAAAGTAGAAAAAGCATCTAATTTGCTTGGAGAATTGCAATGGGAAAAGGGGATAAGTAGCAAAACCTTTAGCTTGAAATCCCGCAGTCCAACTCATGGATTTATAAGCAAGAGAAGAAGTTTAAAACTAGACTTGATTTATTTTGCACATTATATATTATGGGACTTATTTTCAGAAGCTTTTAAGCTATGTTAGTTTCCAGTGGCTTCTGGATGTTATAATAAAAATTGTAAATAAATCATTTGGGTGGCATACTAATTTGTTTGCTCAAACCTAGCTTACTTAGATGAGGTTATAAACTAGTTTATCAAAAGCTTGGTATACCAACTTCTTAAAATGGAGCTTATTAGCTAACTTATTTGGTCTTTTACCTAAACATGTAGATATAAAAAAGCTAACTTAAAAGCTACATCGACCAAAAAATAAGTCCCCAAATACCTTCTGCACACCCTCAAAGCATGAGGCGGAATAAGTTAAATATATTCTTAAGGTCCCTTCCTCTACATCAAAACCCCATAAGTTGCAGTGAGGGTTAGGGTTATAATTTTATACTGTAAGCCGCATACCACAGGTTGAGCATCCTTTTCATTGATCGAAATCTAGGCTATTTGACGTAGCATTACCATTTTTCAAAATTCCGCTTTAAATCTAATACATGTGGGGTTTGAACCAAGGCAAATCCGATATCATCCTAAGTTTTTTTGGTTCCACCAAAGTTATGAAGTTTTCACGGGGTCGAGGATATAATTTTAAATTTGAAAATATATATTTCCTTATGTGTAACTTAAAGCCAAACAAGCATTAAACAAAAGACAACTCTTTTAGTCTATGCTTGAAATTGGAATCTCATTTGCTCATATAGAATAAAATGGAAAGGCCTAACCAAGGTTTGAAATCTTCATATACCAACAATTCTGGCAATATTGGAGGTTTTGAGGGTGTAAAAGATTTTGAGGATTGGCAGATTATGAAAGCAGTTTTCAAATAATAGAGAAAACTTGAAGTGATGGAAGTTTTTCTTACCAACTAAGTCTAGGTAATGTTTTGATAAAGCCATCCATATAGAATAGCTGATGCAACAGAGGTACGGTATGTGAATGAATATTGTACCATGATCAAAATCATAGAGATTGTATAAGTTGCCTACAAATTTAATAAAGTGTAATAGCATGTATAATGCAAATAGATTTAATATTCCAATATTCACCAATATTGTTATATTTGAGTTAACATTTCTTGAAAGGTGGGGATCTTATTTGAAGGTCTAATACTTGGAACTAATCTCAACAAACAATTTTAAAGTAGTGTTTTGTGGTGATTCACATGGGCTTTTGTTTAATATTATAACAATAATTCAACATGATTTTGGGGTTGAACATTTTTAATTGTTGTTAATATGTAAAGTTGGTTATCCATTGAGGGTTTTTTAGTAATTAATACAGTTGGAATATTATTTTTACGGTTATATTTTTCTATGACACATCATGGTGTCAACACATAAACTTGTCGTTGCCCATGGTATTTCTAGTACAACATTTTATTATGATTACGATCAGTGGAATTTTAACTATTGCTAATATTGTTATTGATTTTTCCGACAATATGAATCATAAGCACTAGTATCATTCGAGTATCAGTCATATCCATTAGGGAGAAGGCGGTATGATAGATAGCAGCCAACAAAAGGCTATTATTGACCAATAACAATTTTAAGGTTGTTATTAGAGTGGCATGCTCAAAATCATACAAGACACACACATACCCCCCCACACCCACGCACGTGCGTATACACACACACACACATATGGAGAGAGTGTGTGTGTGTGTGTGTGTGTTGAGCTGCAATCCACTTGAGTCGATAGAAGCTTTTATCCATCTACCTTTCTAACCATTGAATTGACCTCTTAGATCAATATCTGAACCAATTAATAACATCCATTCATTAAAGTATAGGGTAGTTCAGGAATAGTAAACAAAACAAATATAAAATAAAAATAAAAAATGAATTAATGCGTAATCATCATCTTCTTCTCCATCCCTTTAGGGCGCTCGAGAAAAAAATTTCTAAGATCCCTCTTCGCTTACACAAGTGCTCCCGGCGACATATAGTTGTTAATCTATTAGAGAATATGGCTTTTAGAATGAAGATTGAGTTCCTGCAAGCACACTCCGATCAGGGACTTGCATTGAGCAAAAGTTTAATGTCAATGAACCCAGAGGTTAGTATACTAATGTTGTTGCCCCTTCAATAAGTATCATATACATTAGGTTATTAGTTGCACCCTGATGAAGATTGATCTGAACTAAAACCCACAATCATGTGTAGGTTGCTTGTATCCATTGTTGCGAATCGTGCATATGTTCCGTCTCATAATCTTGTGAAAATATTCTGAAATTACATCTGGATGCTCCTAATTCATTTCTATTGGATTGCAAACTAATCCTTTACTTGAGATACAATAAATAGCTTGCGGAATTAAGAACTGTGACTACCCTAATTAGTAATTACTCAATTCAATCTCTAAAAACCGCTATGGACTCAAATGGTTATAGTTCCGACGCCATGAGCGGAATCATGGCACCGTGTCAGAGTTTATTTGGAGCTGACGATGGCGATGGAGAGAGGATGACGCCAAAATTAGGGTTTCTGTCATTTCTTTCAATGGAGAATACAATGGACTTTAGGATAATGATCAAGAGGGAATGCAACGACTCCTGATTTTTTTTCTTCAGCCGTCCTAGAAATTCGAACCGATAATTAGTCCTCATTCCTATTTTCTGCTTGCTTTTGTTCCCAAACTACCCCTCTTATAAAATAAGGGATATTAATTTGATCAAAATCTAGATATCTAAAAGGGAGGAAACGGCGCCATACACATGGTTGAGAAAAGTTGGGACTGGCATAAAAGGCTTCTAATCACTCAAGTCGCGATTCTAGCTCAACTCTCCGCCTCTGTTATATATATATATATAGGAGGGAGGAGTGAGGATACGGGGTCATATATATATATGAGTATGATACGTGTATACTATAGGAGCGGTGAGAGAGAGGAGAGGAGGAGAGAGGAGTTAATGCGTGTATCTTTGTTATAGGAGGAGATTTCCTCCTTCACGGCGAGTGTAGGTGCAGCAGATTCCCCACATCCCATCATAAAGGTAGGGAGAGAGTGACTGAGCTTAGGTGGGGAAGGTTGGTCCTAGCCTATGATGGATGGTGGGATGTGTGCGACATAGGCGACAAGGAGGGAAATTTCCTCCTATGAGAGAGATACCCATTAATCTCATATTGGATATGTATAATAATATATATATATAATATATATATGTGTGTGTGTGTGGTGTGTGTGGTGGTGTGTGGTGTGTGTGTGTGTGCTGGTGTCGTGTGTATTAATTGGCTATCTTTTTATTTTTTTGAGATATTGTTAGATCTGGCATAAGTGTGGCATAACAATAGTTAGAGCAATCAGCACCTTGATTTAGAATGACTAGCAAAACAAGGCATCTTTAACTCTAAAAAAGGCCACAAATAATTTAAATATTAAAAATAACATTCAAAGATATTGTTGTACTCTCATAAACTGTTACAAAAGTTCATGCCAAGGATTGACGAGCATGTTGTAGATTAACTGATTAAATAGTTATTAGAACAACAATACTCCTGATTTCCATGATATTTGCACTAACCTCATCCAAACACTGGATCTAAAGGGTGTGGCTCTTTGTCTATGCCTTTCACTTGCATAATACAACTACAATTGATAGTACATACTAATAATTGTAAATTTCCAAACACTTAAGCCCCAACGAAGTTTCTAAACATGGCCCAGATATATTGGTGTACTTATTTTAGAATGGAAAATTTTAAATTGACTACACCTGTTAAGACACTTTGCAAGATAACAGAAATTAGAAACATGCAGATTATTAGATTGAATTACAGCAATGCAATCTGAATGAAAGTTGGTCTTTTTCATGCAACTTGATGCAATGGGTCCAAAGCACGATTTCATGTGACTTTACATTATAGAACAATTATAAGGATGGAATGTTTCAAATAAAAAAGAAAGTGAGAGATATTGCATATAAAGAGGAGCCACTTGGAACTATGCCCATAACATTTGTAGAAGGGGCATGGCCCCACAATTGAACTGGAAAGAATAAATGCACTGTTTTAGGACCTGTTAATGCTGCCTGCTTCCGAAGCTCAACCAATTTTGTTTCCATTTGGCGGAGTGTCGCATTTACAACCTGATCTTGCTGTGATATAAATTCTTACGAAATTAGAATGTCAAAAAAAATAACTTTTTATGTATGTACAGTAGGATGTATATCTTACATCTTTAATTGGCTTGCAATTTGCAGTAGGGCACTCTGCTTTGCAAGGAGATTCTGAGTTAGATGGCAACTGAATATTTTTGGGAACTGGTTTCTTTGTCTGACGAGTCACTGAAGCACTTTTGTTTATCTGAAGTGAAGATGCACTGTCTGTTTGTGAGTTCTGCACTACACTTGCAGAGATGACTGGGTCGACTTTAATTGCTTGAGAATAATGTTGTGCCCTTGCACGAATCACTGAATTTTGTGCTGAATCAGAAACTAATGTAGTTGAACGTTTAGCTTCAGATGGAAGTTTGCTCAAACTTCGGTTGTACTTGACCTGAAACGAATTTTCCATCTTTGGAGGTACTTCTTTAATTTTGACATGATTTTCTTTGCGAACAGAAGAGGCAGAACTGTTGCCTGAGACAAACTCACTATACAGTCTCTTCCGCCTAGAATTGGGACTACTTTCCAGTTTTCTACATTTATTGGGGCTGTCTTCGGACATGGCCTTGTGACAACTATTATCAGCTCCAACTGACTCCCGGACTAAATTGCTGCTTACTCGAGCATTTTGCTTAATCCACATTGACCGAGGATTTTGATTCTCTTCCGCTTGAGAATCTGGTAAATCCCTCCTGCTGAGATTACTGTTGTGTAGATTGCTTTTCTCTCTCATCTCAGCATCATCCTCATTGCATGCTTTCCCTAATCTATCCCAAACATTACCACGTGGTCGGGTAATTTGATGCCGTACAGAATCTACAGCTGCTGACTGCAGCCTAATCTTAGCAGAATTTCTCACATGCAGAGGCCTTGGTTGGTGATTCTCTGTGTATAGAAGATTTACTAATTCAGTAACCTGTTAATATATTAGTGGCATCTGCACTATATAAAGGCAACTTTAAAACTAAACTACGGCACGAACATATAAAAAAATAAAGAGATCCTCTGTAGCTTGAGTCTCAGCAAATACAGGCTGTGGGCCTAAACATAACTAACTCATCATTATATAAGGATCTAGATTGTGTTGTGACCAAAGGATGTTAACAAGTAAATTTCACTGTGAATACACTGTGGACAATTATAAAAACAGTAAGGCTTGCCTGTGAGGGTAGATCTCAATCCCCTTCTAGGTTGTTCTGTCCTTGGTGACGGCAATGGTTGATGAAGCAGTGCGCTAGAATCAGTTTTGGGAATCTGTTCTCCCATACGCAATGACCAAGTTAGATAGCTCATTTAGAAACAAAAAAGATAAACTAAGACGTAAGACTTAGTCTATCGACCTTCTGATCTTGATATTGATAATATAATTGCTCATCATCAGTTAAATTTTCAGGAGCACATCTCACTATGGAAGAAAACTGCTTTGTGGCACCAGTGCTATTAGCTGCACCAGAATGCTCATTTGCTAATCTCTTGGGACTCACTTCATTTAAATGATCTTTTAATCTCTCATTCATCCCTTCCGTAAAATAGCCATTCATGCTGGGGCACCACCTTTGCAGGCTCTCTGGAATTTCAGTAATGTTTGAACCATCACAGTTTGTGGAACAGTATGGTCGATCATACATCCCACTTTCAGGCTGCAAAAAAAATATTTACTTATATCAATGGACAATTAAGATAGTACTTCATGTTAAACAAATTTGATCATGAATTATTACCAATTGAATATCAGACTTTCGAGTTGACAGGATATGAAGACTTGGCATGGTGCCAGATTTCTGTTCTTTATTCAAAATATCATAGCTGCTTGTGATGTCAGCTTTAAGATTTGATGCATCAAGTGTCCTTGAAATATAATTTTCTTTTGCGAGATGATTCCAAAGCCTACGTCAAGGTTAAATATGATAGTATTATTATATAATTAAGAAATGCAGACCTTATTATAAGCACTCGTTAAGCAAAACAGTCAATGCACTTAGTGCTCAAGAGGGAAACTAGCCAAAGGATAACTTATGACCGAAGTTTTATGTTCTAACAAAAAAGAAAAACCAGTTCTCAAAACAGAAAATCGCTGAGTTAGAAGATACCATGTAACAAATGTTCCACTGTCTTCACCAAGAAATGCCTCAAGGTCGTTACGTGCCTGATTCTGACTTTTGCCATTACAAACAAGCACTACAATGTACTCCTTCAGAAAGAAATGTAAAATGTTAGGCGCATCATAATATATTCCATGTTGCTTACAAGTTACAACTCAATACGACACTAGAAACTAAAAGATGCAGAAGAAACATTACTCCAATCTCTAATATACACTAACCCACATCCACTAAAAAGTAACTGCACAAAAATTAAGAAAACCATGTACGCTAGCAAGTCCATAAACACATATTAGACAGGAAATAATATGTCCAAATAGACACTCAAACCTCATCTTATACAATAATGGTACATATACATATAGCTTCATAGACAGATTACAGAGTGGTACAGAATTCTTGCATGGCTAATGCTCCTATTTGAATATTCCTGCCTGAAAGGGCTTTTCATCTGCAAAACAGTACCTTTCCTCCTCTTTCCTGTTGTTATTCTTCCAGATTCGGGTTGACAATAAATAATGAAGCGATTAAAGGAAATTTGTGATCACAATTCAGTTAGAACTTCTCTTAGATCTATAGAATCAAAACAGCTAGTGCCAATATATGTTGCATGGAAGCGAGTATTGGTGTGGGTACCAGTACAAGCAAAGAACACAACAGATCCGTTAAAGGTAGGGTACAGAACAGTGGAACACAACAGATCCATTAAAGGTAGGTACAGGAACACGGCTATACATAAGCGCAAATATATATTGAAATTAATAATTTACATAAGATCAGTACTGTTTTTCGTTCATACGTTATGAGATTTAAAATTTCTATAACATTTTTTTAATGTTTCTTTTATTACTTAGATTATAAATAGTAAAACTGTGTTTTTTAATTAGATACCAAAATGACCCTTTAGAATCATTGTCCTGCACTACTTATGGGCTGAAATGAACCAGACCCACGTCCAACAGATTTCAAAAATTGGATGTGAAGTGTAATATACGCATCCAAGAAGTGTATGAAGTGTGTTCTGAATTAAAACATGTCATACATAATCAATTATATAATACATGTTTTAATTTAAAACAATCCTCATACATTTCTTAGACGTGTATTCTACACTTCAAAGTAACCTATTTCGTTATTTGGGATCAATCTTTTGTCACGATAGTGAGATGAGATTGAGGATGATGTTGTCCATCGAATAAAATCAAGATGATCAAAATGGAGGGGTGCTTCGGAAGTCTTATGTTATCGTAAAATACCTATGAGACTAAAGAAAAAAATTCTACAGGATAGTTATAAGACCAACAATGCTTTAAGGTCGGAATTTGGGCCAATTAAGAAACATGTGCAAAAAATGAGCAATTTATGAGAATGTTACCATGGTCTTCTAGGTATATACTAAGAGATGATAAGAAACAAGTGTATTCGTAGTAAATTAGAGGTTACTCCAATTGAAGATAACAAGAGAAAGAATAGATTAAGATGTTTTGGATGTGTACAACGAAGACCTCTTAATGCACCGGTTAGGAAATGTGATAATATTGTAGTTATGGGACAGAGATCTAGAGATAAACCTAAAGGAAATTGGTTGGAAGCAATTAAAAATGATATGATAATGATTAATTTAATGAATGAGATGGCCCATAATAGAACGGAATGGAAGAATAGAATTCATGTAGCCGACCCCAAGCATTTGAAATAAAGGCTTTGTGGTGGTTGTTGTATATTCTACACTTCACATTTATTTCTTATATACAAGTCTTATGTAAATGGAAAAAAATAATGTTGTTATGTAAATTATTAATTTTAATACTTATTACGTAGTCGTGTCCCCATAGCCCATCTTTTACAAATTTGTTGTGTCCTATACCCCATGCAATTTAGATGTCAGGTATGGGTGTTGTATACAGGTAAACTATGGGTAGAAGTGCCCATGTAGCACAGGTGCTAATTGGTGATGTCTAAATGTTCCCAAGAAAAGTCGGATTTGGGTACACACCCATAAGTTTGCTCGACACTTCACTTGGACTTCGCTGAGTGATAACAACGTGGTTCAAATTGGTAATGGTTCCACGCCCTTATGGTTGGGTTGGGAGTTAAGTCATATAAAGACTTAAATTCAGATGGAGGGGAGTTGGATAAGTTTTATAACATTGTCTTCTATAAGTGCAGAGTCTTGGAAATAAAAGGAAGAGAAAGGATGGAGTATGTAGGATTTGGAGAAGCTCATCATTTAATTGATTTGTTCTACATTCCACATCATCTTGGGGATCTGATTGGACATTTCAAGTTTTATAACATTATCTTCTCTAAGTGCAGAGTCTTGGAAATAAAAGGAAGAGAAAGGATGGAGTACGTAGGATTTGGAGAAGCTCATCATTTAATTGATTTGTTCTACATTCCACATCATCTTGGAGATCTGATTGGACATTTCAAGTTTTATAACATCATCTTCTCTAAGTGCAGAGTCTTGGAAATAAAAGGAAGAGAAAGGATGGAGTATGTAGGATTTGGAGAAGCTCGTCATTTAATTGATTTGTTCTGCATTCCACATCATCTTGGAGATCTGATTGGACATTTCAAGTGTTGTTTAGAAAGAGGTTCTACGTGTGACTTGTAGAGTTTAGAGCTTGTGAGGTAAACCCTTGCACGTTTCTTATTCAACTTTTTGTTGGAGCCTCAGATTTCACGGAAGCTATTGTGTCGTTCTCTTCTTGGTGATATAGTGGAAAGATCCTCCTTTGTGGATGTAGATCCCAGTTATGGCCGAACTGCTTTATGTTTTGGTATTCCAATGCGGTTAATATTGTGTTGTTCATTCCACACTTAATTTTTCCTACTCTCACATTGATCTTGGGACTGCATTCCTCTCTTTGGTTCCCAAAAACAAATAAAATGACATGAATAGCTAATCAGATTTACCACTACAACTATCACTTGGGCCGGGGGTGGGGGGTGGGGCTACTAAACTGCACTTGGTTCTTCCATTACATGGTCTGCGTAGTTATCCGATACGAAACAAAAAGGCATGAACAAGTAGTCAAACCGTAAGAGGACATCAGCGTTCTCTCAGATAACAGCATTCAAGCAAAAAAAAAACACAATCAAATGGGACCACTTTCATGTGATTTTCACTTCATTAATCCAACACGCATTACTTTTTTTCCACTAAACTTGAAAACAAGGATCCAACACGAACAACAATCTTGAATCTACAACAAAGTTTCTAACCCTAGACAAACAGCGAAACAATTGAATCACCTACGAACTTCACCAAAAACTGGAAGAAATCATCGAGAGAGCCAAACACCATAACAAATCGATCAAAATTGAATCAAAACGAAACATTATGGAATCAAGAGATACCGCGAGGACATCATCGGTGTAATTCCCTAAGAAATCGAAGAGCTTCCTGTTGACGGCGTCCCTGAGCTTGATCGCCTCCGCCGACTTCCGATCCATTCTGTACGATCTCGGCTTCGACGCGAACAGTTCCTCTTCCATCTCTCTCTCTCTCTCTCTCTCTCTCTCTAGGGTTTTCAACTCTCATCAACCATTTCGCTCGTTTTTTCACCCTTTCGCTCGATAGAGAGAGAGAGAGAGAGGGGGGGAGGGGTTACGGAGTAATGATAAGGATCGCGGCGAGATCTGACGGCTGAGACTGATCGGGTTCTTGAAATTGTGACCGTCCGCTTTATGGGTGGGGGCCCCTTATTTGATGCAACGTTTGAGCTTGGGCCTTTTTAGGCCACCTAACTGTTTGGGCTTCGCAAAGAATACTGGGGACTGTGGGTTCTAAAAACGTATCAAAATGGTTAGATTGTTATTTGGCTTTTTGGAAGTGAAGTAAATAAGAGAATATTTTTGGAAAATGTTCGGCTTAACCGCATGGAGTGTTTGTTTTGGTTTCGTAAGAGAGGAGAGGTTAATGATGCGCTAATTATTCCAAGCATTTATCCTGAATTTTATAAGATTGCTATATGAATATTAGTTTTTCATTTTAAAGCATCTCTTTTATATTAGCTAACTACCACCATTTAATATTTTTTTAAAAAAAAGAAAAGGAAAAAAACCCTACCATGTCTGTAATGTGAAAGATAAGAGAGAGCTACAGATGAGAGAAATAGGACAGCCATTGAGATGGGTTGAAAGGTTTAAGAAATGCCGGGACTCAAATGTAACGACATGGCTAGAAATCTCTCAAAACCGGGTCAAGATTGATTTCAGTTCAATTGAAATAAACTAGTCCTACCTTAACCTAAAAGAGAGGTGGATTATTTTAAAAAGGGGACAAATTTTCAAAACCAACATTTTTGGAAAAATATTCCCCAAATCTACTTGTTTCAACTTTAATTATCAAAACCGACCTAGTTTCAGCCTCAAGGCTGAAATTGGATCGGTTTTTGCGGAAAAAAAACTCCCAAACTTCACGGGAATTGAACTCCCGTAAAGTTTTTTACATAACAAAACTTCACGGGACTTGAGAGGCTGAAACTAGGTCGGTTTTGGTAAGTTAAAAACATGTCATTTTTAAAAAAATAAGTTTCTAAAAATGTTTGTTTTGAAAATTTGTCCTTTAAAAAGGACTAGTTTTCCCAAACTGTGATACCGTAGCCTCATAATGGAAAAATTAAATGAGCTCAGCTCTTTCAACCGCTCTCAAACTATGAGTAGGGGGGGTACTGAGTGCTGACTCGAAATCTCTTAAAAAGCAATAGGAAAAATTTTCAATCGGAAATTATGAGACACCATATTCAGAGATCAACATGCGCTCTGGAAAGGCTTAAATATTTGCTCTTCATCTACTACCTGTACACACACACACAACATCAAACACTACATACCAAACAAAATCAGCAAAAACAAATTTAAAAAAAAAACTCAGCATCCTCACAGCATTAGCAAAGAACAAGTAGGAAACTAGCTCAATTAGTGAAAACTAAAATCCTTCACACCTTTTTAAATTCATTTTGCACCAAAATACATGCTCTTGAGGGCTAACCTACTAACTTGCCCTCGTTACAGAAATCATAACACCTAAAAGCTCTGGGATAAGGCTCAATACCAGAGGAAATGTACATTAAATCACAGAATACAATACCAAAGAAAACGGAATACAGAGGAGATGCACAATTGCACCTCTTAGGTATTTTTGTAGCAGGGTAAGCTTTTACCCTCACAAAGCGAGGCAAACGTTTAAAAGTGCAGCGATACAAAAGGAGAAGCAGAGAGGATACATGGTTTCATTAGCTGAACAAATTCATTAAGGTTGATATGGCTCAATATCAAGGAAACCTCGATGAACCACCAGTTCTTATTCACTGCAGGATTAGAGCTTTTAGCAGCAGGCATCTGAGAAAGAAACAACCCAACTTTATTCAAGTTAGAGAATGACAATTATAAGATGGGTTAAATGTGAATAGACCCCCTGTATTATCGCCCAGTTGCAGAAAGACCCTCTGTATTTATATTGGTGCGGATAGACCCCTGAGTCAATTTGTTTTATTCTTAAAAGAGTCAGAAAAAAGGTTCATTCAGGGGTTTATCCGCACAAATATAACTACAGCAGGTCCCTACCCACACTAGGGCCAAAGTACAGGCGGTCTACTTGCAACTAATCCTTAAAAGATTGTTGACTCAGGTCTAAGTTTTCAGTCGTAAGGTGGCGTTGTGCACAAAACCACTAAACTTTATAAATTACAGAAACCCACCTGGGACTTTCAAAATTATACAACCCCCTTTGAACTATTCAAAATTGTCATAAATGATGTTATGACCTAACGAGACGGTGTAAGGCACAAACTAGACATATTAATATTAAGTCAACCCTAACCAGAAAAAACTCTTCCAATAAGGGCATGTTTGGCAACAGGAAAGTAGATGGAAAGTAGAAAGTGGAGAAAGTACCTTCTCTAGAAAGTAATTTCCTTAAACTTTCTATTTGCAATTTTGTTTGGTTGATAGAAAGTAAAAATATGTTGATGTGGATGCTAATGTGGCATTCTCAGAATTTTCTAATGAGTATTTTTCAAAAAGAATAACTTGTACAAAAATTGAACCATACACCGATAATAAATTATTAATGCGAAATTTCACAAGCTTGATTAAATCCTCACAGCTGCTAACATGAAGCAGACACTAATATTGCTCATCATCTTTAATGAATATGATCTCTCTATACTTCAATCTATCAATAGCTTAAGTATATATAAATTATCATTTAATTTTTTTTTCTTTTTCATATATCATGAAACATAACTCCAAAATTAGAGTGGATGAAGACTAATCGTCAGGAAAGAAATTGGTTTTATGTGAAACATTGCAGAAGAATCTCACGCGACCGGGGAGGGGAATTATAAGTGAAGCAATGAGTGTTGACCAGATTAAAAATTTAAAAACCAAACCAGTGAATTTGAAAAGGGAAGAGTATGAAAAAAACAATTAAAAACTAATTTCTCTCTCCTCTCTCTTCACTTTCCATATCCACTTTCTCCATAACTTTAAGAAGATGAAAAGGGGGCTAAAAAGTTGATGGTGGCACCCTTCACTTTCCATTTACTTTCTATTCACTTGTGCCACTTTACTTTCTATTCACTTTCCAAGTGAAGCACCTTTTCAAGTTTTGATCCACTTTCCAGTTAGTTTCCGATTGCCAAACACACCCGGCCAAAACATGTCCAAAACATGTGATGTGCACGTGACAACATAAACTAAGTGACATGAGTCATGGTATTTTAGTGAAACAAGTTTAGAACTTTCTCTAATTTATGTAGTTTGGGGGTTTTGCACCTCAGAGTTCAGTAGTTTTTTATCCTTAAGTTTTCATGGGGTTACGGCTAACCTCAGGTCAGCTCCAGGAAGTGGCCATCTGACTTTGAAAGTATCTGACCGGAATCGAAGAATGATGTCTCGTAAGGAGCTTTGGGAAGCTGAAGCTCCTGGTATTGACTCCCATTGTTATGGAGGTCAAATGGCACAACCCGTTCTTGTTGATGCAGGCTCTGTTGGTCTTGCCAGTATGTAGATGTGTTTACTGCCTGCTGCATTGTAGGATGAGATGAACTGTTGTGGCTCGCATTCACGTAATGTGAAAGATTAGATTGTCCCGGGTTCACCGAACCCCAAGAATCAGTTGACAGAAGAGAGAGAGCACGCCGAAGATCCGGGCCTCCATCCAAGTTAGGATCAGGAACAGGCGCGCCTAGACCTGAAATTAAAAAGAAGGGAATTGTTATATAGTGAGAAATAAGTTCCCCGGTTCATGTGAAAGGTTCAATGCCGTACTCATTTGAACATCAGAGGCCAGAGTGTGCGCGCACGCGCGAGAGGACCTGACTTTTACTGGACGTATCATAACGATTTTGCATGATATGAGATTTGCATTTCTAGTAATGACAGTGGCAAAATATATGCTTCATAGTGAAGTAATAACAAGATAACAATGTTCCAATCTATATGCATTTATGTGTGGTTGCAAGGCATATTAATAAAGAAAACAAAGCTAAACACGGTATGCTTGAAGTAAGATTTTATGGATAAAAGTGAACTGTGAAGCCAAGTAAATGATAACAGTTGATTGGTTGTCTTCTTCTCTCTTGGAAAGTTGTACCAATTGAAAAAAAGAGAACATAAGGGGAATATATATATATATATACACATGTCCATACATGTTTAATCTTTATATCAGAATATACTTTTCGAGTGGAAGAGCATTTGAAATCAACTAGCTAAATCTTGCTATATATCATGAGAAAAAATGATCATATAGTAATGATCATATAAATATATAACTATACTGACCAAACATCATAGGGGGGAAAAACACATGCTCGCAAGTTAAGGACTAGCAAATAGCAAGGATCCAACACTGAGCTAGAGAGAACTAAATCAACAGCGTCCACGAGAACAATTTCTTTGACTAATTGAAGAATGCCGCAAACTTGTATCAGGGCGNGGCAAAAAAACAAAAAAAAACATGATTATTGTGAGCAGTTTCATTTATGAAGTTTTGTTTCAGTCCATAACAATCTAAAGTCATTTCACAACATAAATAAGTGGTCATAGTATTAAATAAGTGCATCTTTACGCAATATGTCAACAGGAAACTACCAGTATGAGCTTTGATTATTAAGGTAAGTTTATAAAAATAAAGGACAGATTGGAACAATACGTTAACTCAACCAAAAACCAAAAACAGGCCGTTAACTAGTCAGCTATGTTTATACTTAGCAGCAAGAAAGCACAATTTTATAATTCCATCCACCAGAACTCACTCCCATAGTATGTTGTGCTGCATTGATGTAAACGAAAAGAAAGGTGATGTAGCCATAAACTATGATCTTGCCATGTTTATATCTAGAATATTTGCTTAACCAATTACCACAATTCAGGAATGGATCATGCGACAAAGATAAAGATATCAGAGTGCAACTATAAAAGCCTATTGAAGAATATGATAAAAATGCAATTTAAGACAAACTGTCTATAAAATTAATGCTGACAGTGTACAACTTTGTTATGTAATTTCTTGGTTTTCAAATAGTCATTTAGATTGACTAACAAGACTGCGAACGACTAAGACCAAATAAATTAGTTATATCTGTCAAATCACATATATTTTCATGATCAAATACTAGATATAGCTCAAATGCTCAACTGTATCAGATGTCGTGTTTAGAAGCTAGTTCAGTAACAATTTTGTATATCTAATTTTAGGTGTTAGAATAATTAATAAACATGCTCATTACACCTTTAACATCCTCACACTGTATCAGATGTCATGTTTAGAAGCTAGTTTTGCCCTTTTGGGGCTTATTCTACTATATCAAGTTTCGGGGGACATCTTTCGAAAATAGATATGAGGAGAACCAATATATCAGATAGACGTGCATAAGAACATCTAAAGAAGGGAAAATGTAGCATTCACTCCATGGCTGTCTACAAACTACCTCTGAAATCTCATTCAATTTAGATATGTTTATTCTTCACCAACAAACAAAAGTCACTAAAGCATTACCTTGACTGAGGACTTCAGTTGTGGTGCCCTTCAATGGCATGAGCTTGTCCAAGCCTTGAGGAAGGGAGGAAACAGTGTTTGATAAATCATAGTTTGAAAAGTGCAGATGTCCATCCATTCCTCTGGTTTTCATCGACTTAATCCAAGACCCTCTTGAATGAGTGAGGCTGAACCCACATGAGTCTTCCCATGTGGAACTTGCAGTCGGCCTCATATTACCAAAAGGGGATCTATTCAAAACAAAATTCATCTGCTGGCGTCCATCTGTGCAGAAAACCACAATTTGAAGAAGGCATGAATATGAAAAAGAGCACTTCTCCTAATGCAACATCAGTCCAACTTTTACTTGGATATTCAAAACTGTTAAGCATGTAACTTCAAAGAAAAAAATTGCAAAAAAAATTGCAATCTTTTAGCAGATCAGAATCATCTAATGAAAAAAAGCACGCAAAACGCACGCGCGCACACAAGAAATGTGGAACTAGACTGCTAGAAGGCAAGCTTCAAGACAGTCAACACGTATAAGCAATCGGATTGAAGTTAAATCTCGCATGCACAATTAAGGAAATTGTTAACAGTTAGATCATTACATCCGATTACAAAACGGCCACGAGCAAGATTTAATGCAAAACCATGGTGTAAAACAAATAACAGGTTACTAACAACTGTTTAAAGAAGCACCATCATTGTCTTAAAGGAACTGACTGTGATATTCTAATCAGTAATCCCTTATTCATGTTATTTTAGTTCAATTATTTACAAAGTAATTATGTGTGAAAATGAAAGAATTGAATATTAGAATCCAAATGACAATGAATTAGTGTAGAGGTTGCATACTGCACAGTGCACACATGCCTTCTAACATCCATGATTACGAGGAATCAACAAACTAACATATTGCTCATCTCAAAATATAATATAAAACTTAACACGACTGTCTATTTGGAAAATGTTGAATCCACATTACGCCAACATAGTGATAAAAAGAACTAGAAGAGAGTACTTGAATGGGTTTATACAAAGGTTAAGATATAATGAAAAGTGCTTCCCTCCTAGGAAGGCAAGATCATACAATATAGGCGACGAAGTATAAGCCTAATTCTTGAAGATGGAAAATTTTGCTACAGTCAATTTGACATCCACACCTCTTGCATGCTTTACTCTTGAATATAACTTTGAACACCACTTGAAAATTTTAGGCCTGATATAGCTAACCAAATGAGCACTACATTGGCATTCTATAAGTAATGTTGCAATGTTAGCAATGATATAGAAAACATATTTATAAGCAATCAAGTTGCAGCACCCAGTATAGATACCTGACTGATCCACTGATTGATTTGCATTAAATGGGTAGGATAACCGATGGATCAGGTTGTCAAAGATCCGACTTTGTCTGATCAGCTCATTTAATGCCATCTGTTGACAGTCTTAGATGCAAAGATTCACAATAGATATTTAACACGATTTCATACACTACCCATCACAAGTTTACATTTGAAACCAATCCTATTTAAGGATTCCACAAAATAAACTCCAAAACAAAAGTGTGCACGTTTTAAAAGAAAACATCATTTTTGCACAATTTCATCAGACCAGTTTTCCATCTAAATTTAAGGGCCTCACTTTTCACCCGTTTGTCCTAGCAAAGAGCGAGGATGATCAACCAAGTCATAATTTGGATACTTTTTTATCTGCAGTTTCTGTAATGTGTTTGCTGAGCAGCAAATTATCATAGAAACTCAACATTCAATGGAACACACATGAACATTGGATTCATGGGGAAATATGAGATAAGCAGTCCATAATTGGAATTGACATCAATTTACCAGTCAATTTTTCTGAAAAAGCTCTACCGTAAGCAAGCAGAAAGTCCCAGTACACTTCTTTTTGCTATGAATTTTTTTTCAATTTGTTTGTTTTTTTGTTACGATGTATTCGGCATACTAGTTGGCGTCGCATCCCCCGGGAACATATAGGTCCACCCAATCGATATACACTCGAACCGAACTCGCCACTCCGCCTTGGGCACAGGGCAGCGAGAACCACCAATTTTTTGAAATCTGCCTCCGACGCCTTTATTTATTACCCCAGACTTTGAGACATTTCGAATCAGATTTCCCATGTTCAAAGAAGAGAAGCTCTTGTATGTACATACCCTCACTTTCAGAGGAACCTAAACATTATATTTCCTTGCTTTATGCATGACTTAGGAGAAGAAATGAAAAGAACAACATTATTTGGAAACAGGTAAAAATCCTCATAAACTAGTCTTGCCTGGTCCTTATGTCTTCTCAAACCTAGATTCTACAGGATTTGGTGTTTTACCCCTAGGCTCAAACTGAAAACTGAAAAATTCACAACGTATAAGAAAAAACAATAACGAAATCGCATACTATTACTAGGGTCAAAAAAGAACATCAGTTCTTGATAGATTATTAGCAAACCTAGTTATATTATCCATCTGGACTCCTGCAAACTTCTTCATTAACCAAGGGGGGGAAACACTATTTAAGAAGCAAGTTCGGCAAACAAGAAGATGTCTGTTTACATGATAACTGAGACTTGTAACGAGCATACTAGGAATAGTCAAACAACAGATGGCATATAATGTTTATTGAAGGAGGACATATGAAGCTGATAATATTGTATGAAGATGATAAAAACAGTTGAGACATAATACCTATAATGAATGAGGCTTGTGGGAAGCATACTAGGAATAGTCAAAGAGCAGATGGCATACAATGTTTAAGGACATATGAAGCTGATAATATTGTATGAAGATGATAAAAACAGTTGAGATATGATACCATAAAATGATGAAGCTAGCCTTGATGAGTTGAATGAGATTGTGTCTGACAGTGGTTTGCGCCTACGTGCATTATGATCAGATAAACGCCTTCGACAGCTCCGTTTTTTCAGATCAAACTCTGACAACTCATGGAACCTTAAACATGAAAAAGGAAGACCATCATCATTTGTCATTTTAAAGTGACAGTGTTGCAACTAGAAAAGGATGCATGACTAATTTGGTACTGTATTAATTATTGACCATAATATACCATCAAGCCATATCCCAACTATTTGGGAACATCCTACTTTACAATCATAGATTCTAGAAGCAACATGTACTTTCACTAATATATTCTAAAATATTGCTCCAAATCTTTACACCGTGCAACTATACATATCAAAACTCACTTATTGCAAAACAGAATGTACTACAGTTACCATGACGCATACTTCAGAAAGCAAACAGACTTTGTTCAGAATGAGTGATCCTAACTACAAAGGTATTAGATTTGCACCCAGGATTAAATTGAAAGTCGTCATAAAGGTAGAAGAATTTGACCTGCTACATTGCTGACAAAACCGGCGCTCCTGACCAGCAATGATGACCTTTGGGCATTTAGAATGGCTTTCACAAACTCTATGCTTGCGATGATAATCTTTGGCTCCAGTTAAATCAATGTTGCATCCCTCAACCTGACATCGAGAGTTCGGAACACTCTGATGGGAAACCCTTGTCTTCTTAACTATTGCAGTCACTGGCGCTACAGAAGTCGACGCGGTCGAGGTTTTTGTGCTATTGCCAGCACAAACATCTTCGAAGTAAGTTCTCTTGCCAAGCTTCAGACCAATCAGTGGCTCCCCAAGACCACCTTTAGCTGCCACTACAGGAGAAGTTCCAGTATCCTCCATCCGAGCCAACTCCTTGTTCTTGCTAAGGCCCTTAGGAGAGCTACCTTCAACATTCTCAAAATTAAACTCTGAAATCTTCACTCCTGCTTTCAAAGAAGAATCAATAGATGCCGAGATGGAGCTTCTCGATGAACCGTTCCCCAAATCCGAGCTAGAGAAGGCACCGCCAGCAGATGAATAAACAGATCCAGTTCCAATTGCTGCATTTTCCCAATCCCACTGCAAAGGAGACTTCACATTCCAATCCATCTCAAATGAAACCCTAGAGAGTAACAGTCATGCACTGTTCCTCCCCACTTAACTCTAGAAACATACAAGATATGCAGATGTTACTGACAGAATCAAGTATAAAGAACAAGTTCAGTCAAAACCCAATAAAACCTATGATTAATAGATCAAATCATTAAACAGAAACAAAGTACAAATTTTTACCTTTAAAAGTATTTTATCTTGGGAAAGAACAGCTCAAAAATCCCCTTTCCTTTCCCCAAATCTCTCTTAAGTCAAAATCCTACCAACTCCCAAAATCACAAGAAATGAGCAGATCAAGAGCTAATCAATCTCAACCCATGAAATCAATCCATCCCAAACCCTAGACCACATGAGCCCCTTTCTCTCTCAATCCCAAGCCAACCAAAGCAGCAACCCAGTTCACCATATATTGATTGATTTCCTCCATCCCCATTCACTTACTCATTGATCCCCCCCGTCCCCTTGTTGGTCCCAATAACCAACTTATTAAGGCCTCAGATCAGAGAGTCCAATCTTTCCCTTTTAATTCTTCACCCCACCACTACAAACCCTCAAGATTCTTTCTCCCAAAGGAGTTTTCACCCTCAGAACAGTTTTTTACTGTTTTATCACGTGCCCGTCAACTGTTTACTCAATTTCTCACAAGAACCCAAAACCCTAATCATTCAGAGGCCTGCACCTGAATTAAAGAGAGTGAGATTCAAGGAGAATAAAACGATAACATGTGAATAAATTATAAAGTTCGTTCCTTTTTCCGCCAATTTATTTCACTGCAGTTCAAAAGACTTTTCTTTATCAGTTCGGCCGCAACCAAACACATGGATTTCTGACAAAGAATCAGTAATCATCACAAAAATCTCAAAAAGGAAAAAAATCAACGCGAACTGAGCAAAAACTCGAGTTCGAATCGCTGAATGCGTGAATCAAAAATTGTTTAAAACGAGTAAATGGCCGAATCTTGGACCACAGAAATCACGAGAAACTGATAAAGGCGGTAACTTTACCTAAGCAGATGAGGAGAACAGACGAAGACCTAGAAGAAAAAGAGGGCTCTTTTGCCAAATTTTGCAAAAAATGAAGGGAGAACCTACTGCTATCAATCAACTACTTTCCTTTATTATTTCTTTTGTTTTCCACTTTGGTACTTGAAAGACTTTCCATTTACAGTTTGAATGCTGGAATAGTACAGGCTTTTTTTAATGGCAGCAAGCAGCTGTTTCCTGTTTGGGGTAGGTGAATGTGTGGCGTTGAATTACTTTTCTGCCCTCGACGAGACCCACTTGTGTTTGGTTTTTCGGTTTGAATATTAGGGATGATTTTATTTCCTACCAAAATCAACATTGATTGATTGGGGATATTTCGTTTACATGTTTTTCTTAAAAAGATGAAATTTTATGTTCCATAAAAAATATTGATTTTTCTTGTATTTATCTTTCGGTTCTCTTTTATTTCAGAAAAAATCTCCCAAGTTAAATTTTAGCAAGATGTACGATATGTTTGACACAAGTTAGAAGGATTTGGATGATTTATTTTGTAAACCTAACATTTTAAGAAATTATTTTAGTTATAAAATAATAAATGAGAACTGAAACATAAAAATTCTAAAAAAGTTAATTAGTTTTATTACATGATTATAAATAAGTATGTAATACCTTTAGTAGGTTTCACGAGTGAAGTAGGGTAAATTGCAATTAACCTCCACCCCCCAAAAAAAATTTTCAAATCCACACAAGGCACAAGGACTTTCAAAATTTTGTAGTAAATTCCCAATAAATTTTGGAATTGCAAAAATCACTCGATAACTTTCACATTTTACAAATAGCCCCCATAAATTATAACAAAAAAATAACATAAAAAATGTATTTTGAAGGATAATTTTAGCAAAACAAAAATCAATTAGGTTTCGGGACCACAACATGAGCACGGACAAAAGGAGAATAAATAACAAAAGCCGAGATATTTGTTTTATGGTTGAAAATATAAAAAAGTTCATAAATAGTTTTCTTAATTACTTAAGTGGTATTTTGGTCTTTTAAGTCCTTGAGTTGTATGTGTCATGTTAGATGTAATAATATTAATTTTAAGGGTTTTCTGCAATAGTTATTGAACTTTTAGTGCGGCATTTAAATTTATTGGGGGTTTACTGCAAAACACAAAATATTCTTGGTGTTCAGTGTGACTTTGAAAGTAATTTGGCGTTCCAGTGCAAAATGGTATACTAAATTAATAAAAGGTATACTAAATTGTACTAAAGTGTTGAGCTAACTCCAATCAAGGGTTGGCATAGCTACTGTTCTCCTGGAAGTAGGAGTTGGTGCAACAATTAATGGTGATATCTCCAAAAAGTAAGGAAGCACATAAAATATTTTTTTAAAATTTTTTTAAGATTATCCTTGTCCTTAATCATCCTTGACCTTAAAACAAACGTTACTTGATAAAACTCAATAAGATTTTGCACCTTAGTAAGTTTGCCCAACAACACCAAATGTTAGTATATAACATTTAACACTATTAGTCTGCTCCACTTTCCGTGTAGGAGGACCTAAAGATCATTGTTCGTACTATAGTAAAAACTACAGTGAATCTACGAGTCCTCCTTTTGGTTTTAAGGAATAAATTTATTGTTTATACAACAGTAATTTACTATATCATAAACAGTAACTCTTTGGATCCTCATTTAAGTATAGAACAGCAAATATGATTTCTAATTTTAATCATATAATAATCAAATCAAATGTATTAAATATTAGAGAGAGGCAGATTCAAAATGTAATGATTAAAAAAAATAGAGGCTCGTGCTTTGCACGGGTGCACATGTATTTAGAACATTTATGCAAATAACACACTAGTTCTAAAAAAGTTCGGGGATAAATTAGTCGAAATAATAGTGTAATCGGACACACAAACAGCAAGAAAACGCGCACGCAAACAAAGTTTAGTGATGGGAAAGAAAAAGACACTTTGTGAAGGGATTTGAAGATGCCAAGTTTGACAAGGGCAATATTTGATATTTTTTATTATTTTATTTTGCTTTTTGATCTTGCACAATAGTACTTTGAAAATCATTATTAAAGAGTTCAGCGCTCAAATAGCTTTCTACTTTAGAGAAGGCTAAATTGCACAAAATATGACAAATTTCTCATTTTTATAATTAAATATCACAAGTTGCATTTTGGCACAAAAAATACCATAAAGATTTAAAAATTTGGACGTTACTACCATTGATTATGCAAACGTGGAAATTTTCACTCGGATGTTTCTCTATGACACTTATGTGTTAATTTTATAGTTTTTTAACAAATAATATTTATTAAATTTGCTATAAAATCAACCAATTCTCTTTTTTAAACTTATCTTAATTCTACTTTAAAATACACTAGAGATATTTCTAATAAAAAATTTAATAAATATTAATGGTTAGAAAGCTCGAAATTTAGTATGTAAATATCATAAAAAATATTAAGGTTAAATTTTCTACGTTTTTATGATTAATGGCAATGACATGTAAATTTTAAAAACTTTATTGTGCTTTTTGTACCAAGATACAACTTTAGAGTGTCTCTATCAGTACTGACCCGTGGATTCCAAGGCCCTTTTCTTTCATGTCAATCACTTATCCGATCGACCCTTCCAGAAGGGTGGCTGAGCTGATCTCACTACAAGAAATTAAATCTTTAACGAAAGGATTTTCCTTCGTTAAAGAGCTGAAAACCTTCGTTATTGTATGCTTACGACGGGGAAAAATCATTTCGTCACCCGTCGTTGAAGCCCTCTTCGCTAAAGGGTCACGAAGGGATATACTACCCGTCGTTATAGAGTCTATAACGACGGAACATATTACCGTCATTAATATTTACGACGGTAATTATCACCGTCGTTACCATCAGTAACGGGGATATTTTCCCGTCGTTACCATCAGTGACAGGATATTTTTCCCGTCGTTACCATTAGTTACGGGGATATTTTTCCGTCATTATCATTAGTTACGGGGATATTTTCTCATCGTTGAAGACTAATTAATGACGGTTGGACACCGTCGTAAAAATCCTCATAATGGGTAATTAGTCACCCATCAACGACGGTGCTTTTCCTTCGTTGATGAACAAAATACGGTTTATAAAACCATCATTGTAGACTACAAATTTCTAATATACATTAATAATAATTTTTCTATTCATAGGCAACTATCATATTATTCTCAATCTGACACTAAGATTCACAATAAAAATATATTTAAAATACTCAATAATGAATAAGAGGGAAAATAAAAATTCCATTCATTAATAACATCAATAAATACATTTCCACCATCTTCAAATGTTCAATACTAATAACAAGAGTTAATATCCTAATTGTTCCAAAGAAAAATACATGAAACTATCTAAAACAAATTAAAATAAAAGTTTTGGGAAGACACATTCTTTCATCTCTAATCATCGTCAAAAGAAGACTCGAGTTACCCCCTCCTAATCTTGCATGGATAGCCTGAAATTTTTTAAAAAATCACATAATTAAGAAATATTAATATCAATAAAAATGTTAAGACTGCAGTTCTCCTAAATAGTACCAAGAAAAATTAATATCAAGATAATTACCTGATTCGACTAAATTTTGTTTCCTGTCAAGTCAGTGTAGACTGTTGGGATCACCTGAGTATAAAAATTAAGTTTATCACAAATACTTCTAAATTGTTCTAAATATCATAAAGATTAAGGGCCAACGATAAATGTTCTAAATTTCATATCAGTGAGGAAAAATCATTATGTGCTCACTTTAATAAAGTACTGGTAAATCCCTGACGATGTATGATGTGTCCATTTTGCTCTGGAATTTTTCCAAAACCAGGTAATGTTAGAAAATATGTGATGTGAACTTACAATCAAAGGCAATAACGAAAATATGCTTTCTTATTGCTTCCCAAGCTCAAACATCTCATACTTACCCATCAAGTGGGTTGGCGACACCTGGAAACTCTTCTCCAAAGGATAGCTTGTTTATTTTGTGGGTTATCTGGTTTATGAAGAGTAAATTGAATGCCATAACCAAATATCAATTGAAATGCCAGTGGCATTACTAACGAAAGAATGAAAACACAACAAAAGGTTGTGTGCTACTCACATTATGGTTTCCTAGCTGAACGTCCAACAAATCAGAAATAAGATCTTGATTGTGATGCAAAGATTTTCCAGCGGCAAAGTGAAAATTGCTCACTTTATTAACTGTAGAACAAATAGCACATGGGTCAGCAACAGTCTGAAATATAAGACACTGGAAACTATCACAAAGAATTTTCTTTTATCACTTTATTAACTGTAGAACAACTAATACATGTTTAGGACAGAATGCAAACATGTAACACCATCACTGATAAGGTTAGAATTTCCTTTAATCAACTCAGGGCTGTAGCCTTTTATTACCGGTGAAGCATCTTTTGTACAGAAAACATGTGATAAATCTGCACCCTGTGCAAGAAAGGCAGAATTCTTAAAATTCAACATAGACCAAGATATGAATATCTTTTAAGTATGAACGTACTAAAACAAACATGGAGAATAATGAAATGTAACAGAAGAGGCATTACTAACAATTTTTAGGGCGGATATAGCAGCGAAATATGTTGCACCAGTATATTCACAGCATCCACCAAATCAAAACTAACAGGAAAAATGAGAACATGGGTTTCTCTTGGTTCACCCAATTATAAAGAAAATCAACAAATGAAGACCCAAATCAAAAAATTTGAAAGTTTGTTGTGATGACATTACAAGAAAAAAGGAGTTAAAAAAACACATATGAAAGGAGCATAGCTTTGCAAGATCTGGAACCAGAGCTCGTACATTTTGAAAGGGTATATGAAAAGAAAGTGGTAAGGTTCTGCACTCATTCACCCATGGCTCAACATATTCCTTTGCTGTTGGTATTGACATAACATAAT